CACACACCTTTACACACAAATGGAGATGCAGCACTAGCAACACTTCAGCATAATTTCACAAATAACTATATATCATGAAAATTTAAAAATGTACAAATCCGCTGGTACACACAAATATTGCTGCTTTTTTCATTTTTGCTTTATATTCTATTCATTTCGGTGCAACTGTTATTACTTAATTGTATTAATTTGTATACAGGGTTTCTGCAGTGTCTTAAAAAGTCTTAAAATGTCTTAAATTAAATATATATATATATATATATATATATATATATATATATATATATATTAGGCCTTAAATAGTCTTAAGTTCACTGAAATATTGTGTTGTAGGTCTTAAATCATTTTAAACAGTTCTTAATTTCCCTTTATCCAAGTAAAGCTACCCAATCTGGCCAAATCATTTTTTTTTATTGCAAAGAGATTCAGTTTAAAACAGCTGTTACATTATTTTCAGCAAATTCTCCAAATTAAATTCCCTAATCATGGAAGGAAAAATAAAGCAACTAATCCCTTTACATTATCTTCAATTAATACAAAAACTATTTACTAAAGTTACCAGACCATTAGAAAAAATCCTTCGTGTTTAGCCCTGTATAAGTCTAAAATTTTATTCATAATGGTCTTAAAAGGGTCTTGAAATGTTTTAAATTTGATTTGAAGAAACCTGCAGAAACCCTGTTACTCAAATGTTCAGAGCAGTCAGTAAGAAAACATTTTGCTGCAATCTTTACATCCAATACTGTGTTAATTAACTAGGGTATTGCCAATACCAGTGCTGTGAGAAAGGATGCTACGGTAGGCCTAGCAGAGACAGAAAGGAGTGTGGTAGAGGGAGAAAAAAACAAATAAACGTTACACACTGTACTTTGGGTTTGTAGTTAACTCTACAGTAGAGGTGAACTCATTACAAAAAAATGTAGTTAAGTCTACATAGTTACATTTGAGCTTAACTGTAGAATAGGCCATAATTGTTAATATTTATTCTTTAGGTAACCTATAATTGTTTCATAAGCACATATTTATTCAAAACTAGAATGAGTCAAGCCTAACAAAAGCAATGATTCAAATAATAATGACACAGTGACTGCAGAGACCAGCAAGAAGCATGGACACAGTAAGAGTCAGGCAAGAGTGAGGAACAAGTATAATCTCAGACAGCCAGACAGACATATTAAAATTGCAGAGTTACAAAGTTAAAATGGATGAGAAGATGTAGAATCAGACAATGTGTTTACTGTCAACATAGTCTATAGACCGTGCCAATAAAGAACAACACTTCAGAGAATGACAAGTATTGTTTATGAACAAAAGTATGCTGAATGTAGTGCTGCATGTCCAGGTGTGTGTGTGTGTGTGCGTGTGTGTGTGTGTGTGTGTGTGTGTGTGTGTGTATGTGTGTGTGTGTGTGTGTGTGTTTGATACACATTCACAGGTTACTTCTATAATAAATAGCAGACAAATGGTATAAACAGGTAGCACACAGACTCTACGAGATTCACATATTATTTTAATTTAGTTTTACTGTATGAATTTGTTATAAACAGGTTGTTTTTGTTCTAGTCACATACATTAAATGTTTAAATATCTATTAGATATATATGGTTCTGCTTATATTATTTCACCATCTGTACACCAATATAAGTAGGAAATGTGCGTGTCCGTCTGTGGGGCTGTGTCGGTGTGGTAATGTGGGCTGGTGTGGCTACAGTGCCAGGGCCGAATTTTTGTCCCAGTCCGCCCCTGACTGGGAGGCTGAGGCTGCGGATCGCTTGAGCTCAGGGCTTCTGGACTGCAGTGGACTATGTCGATCGGGTGCCCGCACTAAGTTCGGTATCGATATGGTGCTCCTGGGTGAGCTTGGGACCGCCAGGTCGTTAAAGGAGGAGTGAACCGGCCCAGGTCGGAAACGGAGCAGGTCAAAGCTCCCGTGCCGATCAGTAGTGGAATCGTGCCTGTGATTAGACACTTCAGTTCAACCTGAGCGACACAGAGAGACGCAGACATTTACATTTAATTTTTTTTTTAAACTTTGATTTGTCTTTCTAACTGTAAAACTGAAGAAATAAAGATTTAGAGATGTATGATGACTATGCATTATTAATAGTAAGTAATAATTAAAAGTTTACTAGCAGACTTCAAAAAGTTTATTTGTAAACAAAAATCATCTCAATTTCATGTCTATATTTTAAAAATATGCCTTAGACAGAAATATATTGAATTTAATTGAAAATATATCAAATTAAAAAATATATATAGAGAATAATTTTACTTTAAACATAAATGGCACATTATAATTTTTGGCCCCATCAGAAACAAAAGTAACACACGGGTAGGTCACAACCAGATTTACTGGCTTCATCATGTTTGTTTTAATTATATCTGACTATGACATTGTTAATTATTTTTTAATACCACCTGATATTGACGGTTAAAAAGCTTCCAGTACAAAATGGCATTTTTATTGATAAATTAGTTATAGAGTATTATGTCAAATGCAGTTTTAATCTAGAAAGTTTTGTTTAATAAAATAGAGGAGGGGGATATATTTAAGAAATTAATAACACTTCAAAATAGTAAAGCAACAGGGTTAGATAATATTCCAGTGCAGTTCCCTCAAAGACTCCCTAAATGCGTCACTCCGATGGTTACACATATTATCAATTTTTCTATTTGTCAAGGTAAAGTTGAAAAAAGCAAGAGTTATTCCTCTTTTTAAGAAAGGTAGTAGGTTTGAGGTTAATAATTCTAGGCTGGTATCAATTTTGAGTGCTTTGTCAAAAGGGAGGGAAAAAGTTATTTATTAGCACATTGAAAAATATTGTTTAAAATGTGACGTATTGTAGAGTTTCAATTGGGTTTTAGGAAAATCATTCCACTGATTCAACAGTTTCTTTTATTTAACAAAATATATAAAGAGCGTTATGGATAAAGGAAGTTAAGTGGGATGGTTTTCTTAGACCTGCAAAAAGCTTTCAATACAGTCGATCACAGGATATTGATTTTAAAAGTAAAGGCAATGGGTTTTGGTGTTTTGGCCTGTAAATGCATGAAGTCTTAGTGAACAAACTGAGGAAGTCTCTTAATGGTTCAACCTTAATAAATTGTCCTTACACTTGTGTAAACCAGAATTTATTTTATTTGGTTCAGCTGCGAAACTGAGAAAATGTGTCAGATCAGAGGTAAAAGTAGAGCATCAAATTAATGAACCCAAACATAAAGGGAAATATTTAGGTTGCATTTCAGACAGTAATTTGACAGGTGAGAAGATGGCTGTTATAGTCCATTCAAAAGTTCTAAAATTAAGTTTTTAGCAAGACAGACAGAGCTCTTAGATACCCAAACTTTACAAATATTGGCTAGTGCATTAGTGCAGTCATACTTTGACTATGCTGCAGTCTTTTGGTACAGCAGTAGTTCCACAAAAATGAAAAATAAATTGCAGACGGCCCAAAATAAGTTGCAGAATTGTTATCAAAGTACTTCCACACACACATTTAAATAATGAATATTATAGTCAAACTAATTTATTAAAAGTTGGAAAAAGGGTCACTTTTCTGAAATTGGTGATGGTGTTTAAGATTTTAAAGAAAATGGTCCCAAAATATTTACTTATTAAGTTTTAGTTAGTGAGGTACACTGTCATTCTACAAGAGCGAGTAGCAGGGGTATTTGTCCTTGTAGAATTAATAGTGAAACAGGTAGAAAGTCTTTTCTGTGTACTGTTGCTTGGAATATACTGCCGAGGAGTTTTAAAGAGATTCAATTTGAGAGTTTTATAGAGGAAATAAAAAAAATGGCTGTTTTACGGTTGAAGTTGAGGATTTTTGTTGTGCTGAGTTTCTGAGCTGATGATGTTTGCACTTTATGATTTGCTCGTTCATTTTTTAAGAATATCGATGACCACGATGGAAATCAGCCTGTGGCTTTATTGTGTAATTTATCCTCGACAGTTTTTAAGATATGAATGTCAAACTGGACTTGTTTGTATATTTTTGTTAAAATTGTTAAATAAAATCAATCAATCAATTTATTCATTCATTTTCCTTTAGCTTAGTCCCTTTATTAATCTGGGGTCGCCACAGCGGAATGAACTGCCAACTTATCCAGCATATGTTTTACACAGCGGATACCCTTCCAGCTGCAACCCAGTACTGGGAAATATCCATACACCCTCATTCACACACACACACACACACACACACACACACACACACACACACACACACACACACACACACACACACACTATGGCTAATTTAGTTTATTCATTCACCTACAGCATAGCACATGGGTTTGGAGCACCCAGAGGATGAACACGGAGAGAACAAGCAAACTCCACACAGAAATGCCATCTGACGCAGTCGGGACTCCCACCAGCAGCCTTCCTACAGTGAGGCCATGTGTGTATATATATATAAAGATACATTATATTTTCCCTTAATAGCTACATTTTAAGGAAATCTATTTGCTTAAGCCAGCTGAACAGTAAACAACAACAGCAATAGAAACCACCAAAGGACACCATATGAACACAGCCAAAATGACTTATTAGAGCATGCACATCTTTGTCATTCCAATGGATTTTTAAAAATATGTACATGCCGCCTTTTCTTCCATGTTTCTTGAACTTTTCCCCTTTATGAGGAAAACTATTGAATACTATAAAAGCTGTTCAGCGTTTTATTTTTTTCTGATTAACATTCAATAAACTTTAACTAAAAGTTTTAGATTGTGAGCAGGACAGCACACTGGTTCTCCCGCAGCATGTTTGTTCATCATTTCTATCTTAATGTGTTGATCATTTTCTTTTGTGTTTCTGTATTGTGTGAAGGTCACCCAGTCCACAGTTTATGCTGCTATAATCTTTATTCAGTTTTATTCATAAACTATGTACAATATATACACTGTGCTCACGTCGGCTCCAGGTCTCTTGGGTGAAGGTCTCTCAGTGACGTGGTCTCTTCTGGTCGCCATGCGTCTCTGGTGGAGATGGGGAGCGGGAACGTTTCCCTCTGGCGTCCTGGACTGAAGATGCTGCACCAGCTGAGGAAGAGGAGGACAGCGGCTTGGTCTGGCAGAAGGAAGGCCTCTTTTTCTTCTCAGCAGCATAGGCCTCACTGAACAGATCGAGCGCAAACACACACAAGCAGACATAATGTGAGATTTTCACAAACACTAGAACATGCTGCAATGCCAAGTACAGTTTACTCACGCGTCTATGATGGGAATGACGTATTTGCCGCTGCCGTCCATCATGACTCCCTTTCGGTTTGGGTCGTCCACCTCCAACAGGAAGCTGCGGGGAATCCCTGTGCTCCTCCTGATGCGCTTATGCGGAGCAGAGCTGCTGCCCTGTGAATTCATGAGTGACAGTCAAACGACAGAGCAAACAATCTGACTGATGGAGTCAAGAGCTCAAGTTCACAGCAACCATAAGCTTAGAAAACCCAGTTACCCCTTTAGAGGGGCAGTGCCTAATGTGGTGTCCTGGGATCCCACAGTGAAAGCAGACATAGTTGGGTGGAAGAAGCCCAAGCAGTGTCATGGCCTCACTGATGAACATCAGAACCATGAGAATCAGCTCTAACATTTCTCACAAACCAAACCTGTCAGTGTCTGAACGCTCACCTGCTGGAGTAGTAGCACAGACTGGACTGGTACATCACTGCTTTTAGCTTGTCCTCCTCTGATGCCTTTGCCTCAGCCAGATTCTCAGTCTGTTTCACAGGCATTTGCACATTAGAATTTTATTTTACTGGTCTGCCTAAGAAGCTGTGTGTGTGTGTGTGTGTGTGTGTGTGTGTGTGTGTGTGTGTGTGTGTGTGTGTGTGTGTGTGTGTGTGTGTGTGTTTTTTACACTGTGTATTGATATTCTGCACTACATGTCATTATGACGCCTCAAATGCAAACACTGCAGTTCAATACAGAGCAGCACAGTGGGGTGAATTAATCATTTGTTCAATACCTTCAACAGCTGCTCCAGTGAGAGGAGTGAAGAATCACCTGTTTGAGAAGATTTGGCTGATAATCCAGCTTGATGTCTGCAAAACAAAGGAGCTTGTGTGACTAAAACACCACAGACAGACTCAAACTCTTGATATAACATCTATCAGAGGATGATTGCGCTCATTTCACATGACTTACCCAACAAATCTTCTGTTGGAGGACTTCAGTCCAGCAGCAGGGACCCGTCTGATGATGACCGATGTGTTTTTAGGGATGAGAGCATCATCATCTGTGTATTCTGACAGCAATATAAAGTTTGACTATAGTAATATTCATTTACCATGGTATACTTTTAGTGCCATTAGCATTTTAAAACACTCAAAACATCACTATATGTCACCATCAGAGTCATGATAACACATGTCAGCTTCTACAAGTCTGTCTGATAACACATCTAATGTTAGTTTAGTATAGTTTAAGTGGCTTTTCCTCATCTCACCTTCATCAGTTTGGGCTTTGCTGATCTTCAGCTGGCAGAACTTCAGCCTCTCGCGCCTCATGATCTGCCGCTTCAGCTCTCCCGCAGTGATGTTGAGGCCCTCAAACTGGAGCGAGTCGTAGGTGAGTCGACTCTGAAACCTGTAATGAACACAAGACATACTGAATACAAACCACAGTGTGATAACAAGGGTCAAACCTGAATGATGGGAGCAGCAGACGATCAATCGATGTATCCAACAATCAATAATATCAATAATCTGGGAATCAGTTGCCACGAAGGACGCCGAGATCAGATGCCAATGACAGAGAGAAGTTCAAAACAACACAAAAAGAACCGTTGCCATGGATGCTGACGATCACGTGACGAGGCGCTAAAAACTTCCGAGTTATTTTCTCATTAATAATAGTGAAATTATTACAATGATAATAATTAAATAAACAGCAGAACAGTTGGCCATCTCTGAATAATAAACAGTGGCGTTTCCTTACACGAATGATTCAGGACTCTGTATAGAGTCGGGCGAGTCACTGAATCAGTGATTCGTGGCTGAATGAATCACTTAAAGCTTCACTCGATTAAAGAGGTCTCTTGCTGCCACCTATTGGCGATTTGTTTTTCCGTTTTAAAGTAATTTAACACTTTTTAAAAACACCTTTAAATGTATTTTCTACAAATGTTCATCTCTGTATGTTAAAATGATTTAAAACTCTCTAAGCTCATCATTTATTTGTTTGCCCTTGATCTTCATTATGTGTTACAGTTTTTTTTCCAATTGTTTTGCCACAAATTTCAGAACCCTGATGTCAATTAAAAAAACTCTAGACACAAAACCCTAAACAGTCACTACTTTTAACACTCTCCAGTGTTCTGCATACAGCATTCATTCCCTTAAAGAAGTCTTGCATTTGCAGGATCATTGATTCACATAATCCTTTTATAATAAAATTACTACAGGAACACTACTTTAGATCTACAGGAGCACACAAGATGTGCATCGCTTCAATAAACAATCATTAACAATCATTAAATATTGTTGTTTAAAATATATGATACAGGTTTCATTATGGTCTTTAAGTGTAAAGGGAAACAGTGCAGACAGTGGATATACTGAACTAGTTTTATTCATTCCATCATAATGTAGGTTTACTGTATTTTTTTCTCACTTCACGTCCCCATATAGAAAGCTGATAAATGGCATGATATATGGTCCCATCTGCAAATTACATTATTATAAAATGTCATAATAGTCAATAATTTGTTAAAATAGTGAAAAAATCATTATTTATATCTTTTTCAACCATATCATATATATATATATATATATTTGTAGGGGTAAAATATATAACATAATGGATCATATATATACGTAACATATATGTACATATTTGTAATTCTAATATTTTAACAAATGGCAATATTTTGACATGTATAACATATTTTATATATGTAAAATTCATATGAACTATTATGTCACATATGTAATTTGCATATATTTCTATATATCAGATTTCTATTTAGGGATTTTGTGTTACCATCAGTCTGGTCTTGTGGATTTGGTCACGGGTTCTCCTCTACATTTCAGTGGTGTTTTCATTACTCAGAAATCTTGGAAAGAACCTTCTGTCAATGTAAATCCAGGCCTGACATTGGTCTGCTGTGACTGGGCTTTCTTACAGTGATGTAAAATATATAAACATTGTCTGTAAAAGTGGTACACAGAACAAAGAAATCATAAATGTGGACTAAGGATGAATAAAGATGACATCTATATAGATAATGTAGTTCAGTTGGGTCATCTTCTGTGGTAACTGATGTCATTTGATCTATCCTGATTATTTCATCATCTAAACATGTAATATTGTACATCAGTTTCCCCACATCAAGAATAATGCAGCAGTTATTCATCATTTGGAGTGCTTGTATCAGTTGATAATAACATCATGTGAAGTAAATGAATACATGGTTATTTCAAATGTAATGTTTGAGTTGCATTTTGAAATGGGATCAATTTGAAGTTTAATTGTGTTATATTGAAAAGGTGATCTTAGTTCAATGAATAAAGTATGTTTGACTTGTGTGTGTTGTATCCAAGCATTTGAAAAAAGAGTTAAAAGTTTAGCAAAAATGTACAATTTTGGCAAAGGTTGTGAATTTTGCGTCTAGACTTTTGAAAATTGACACCAAAGTTCTGAAATTTGTGGCAAAACAATTGTAAAAACCTGTAATAAAAAAAAGGTAAAAAAAGGATAAATCTTATAGATGATGAGCACAAATCTGAAAGCATCTGTGGATCTGTCACAATCCACTCATTTATTATCATTACTGTGGGTTTCTTCATCACAAAAATAAGCCCATGTAAGAATTGAAATATTACAAATATTTTTGATGTCTTTGACAATTCAAAACATGAGCTGACAACAGAGACTGTTGTTCTGTCTTTTCATCTAGCAGCAATAATGACGACTGGAAAACTTTGTTTAGAAAGAAAATGAACTGTTTACTGAAGTTTTTGTATACTGAAGCAGGAGCAAAACTCCGAACACACACACTCTCTCACACTGAGTCAGTTGCCAATGGTTACAGGCGCGCTTTCAGTAGCGCTAAGCATCATAGGAAAACTGTTCTTAAAGCAAAACAGCATATATAAATGCCAAGGTAAATAAATTCACTTTATGACAATTACACGATAAATGGAGCATTACTTAATCACTCTTGCAGCTACATATCAATTTAAGTCATAACATCCTCCCCCCCACGAACAACTGTTCATCTACTCAATCTCTAATGCATATAGCAATTGAATTGGTCTTCTCAAACAGTCCCTGCAGATGTGCGAACAGCACATGCTCGAACTTTACCATCTCGCCCTGGAAACAAAAGTTCAATTTTTCCTAACTTCCAAGATTGCCTTGGCATGTTAGCTTCTCCAATGAGAACAATGTCCCCAATATTCAGCTCAGTAGGTTTCTGTATGCGGCACGAATGTGCAGATTTCAGGTCTAACAGATAGTCCTTTCTCCAGCGGTTCCACAGGACGGTTATGAGTCGATTCCTGTATCTCCATCTCCTTGTCATATCCTCTTTGTTCACAGTGGGGTGATCATAGTCCGCAGGAAATGGTTTTAGGTGGCAGTGAAGTTAGTCGCTCGCCAACTAGAAAGTGTGCAGGTGTAAGTGGCTGTGGGTCATCAAGTTCATTATTGACAAAGGTAAGTGGTCTGGAGTTAAGTACAGCTTCTACTTCTGTAAGTAGTGTACACATCTCTTCGAAAGTTAGTGATGCTCTCCCAAGCACCTTTCTCAGACACGTCTTCACAGATCGAACTAACCTCTCTCAAAAGCTGCCCCACCAGGCTGCTCGCTCTACGATGAAACGCCAGATGATGCCCTTCCCTGAGAAATATTCTAGAACTTGAGGATCTTTAATTGTTTGCCACAGCTCACTAAGATCTTGATTGGCTCTTTTGAATGTTTTGGCATTGTCTGAATAAATTATCTTGCACAGTCCTCTTCTAGATACAAATCGCTTAAGTGCTAGCAGGAAGCTTTCTGTTGATTGGCTTGAAACCAGCTCCAAGTGCACTGCTCTGGTGACGGCACATGTGAACAATGCAATGTAGGCCTTGCATAACACACGATCATTTTTTACATACAGAGGACCTGCAAAATCAATGCCAGTCACTTCAAATGGAGGGGTCTCTACTATCCTATCTCGGGGCAAGGGGGCAGTTTCCTGTTGTGAGGGCTTTGCTTTAAAACTTTTGCACACAGCACATTTTGACAGAATAGTTTTCACAAGTTGTCGGCCTTGTAAAATCCAGTATTTACTCCTAATTTGTACTAGAGTGTCTCTTAAACCTGAATGCATTGTTAATTCATGGTTGTGCTGCACTAGCAGCTCACAGTATCTGGCCCTTTTAGGTAGAATCCATGAGTGCTTTTCCCTGTAACTGAATTTTGATTGTTGCAGTCTGCCTCCAACACAGATTAATTCATCGTCATCCAGGAAAGGTTTCAGTTCTTTTATTTTTGAGTCCGCATTTAGGCCTTTGTGAGCTTTTAGCAAAGTAATCTCATGCCTGAAGTTGCTGTCTTGTGTCACTTTTATCCAGTACTTTTCAGCCTCAAACATTTCATCTGCAGTTAACTCACCGCGTCTTTTAGAGCTTGATTTACTGTTGTGCATGAACCTCTTGATCCAAGCAGTTATTCGCAATACTCTGTTCAGTTTACTGTACTTTGCTAAATTTAACAAAGATTCCATTCCACTGTTGTCCTCGCAACTGTTAAGTTCATTTTCCTTTAGATTAGTCACAGTCTGACCTCTAGTGGGAAGGTCTGCGGGATTGTCTTTGCTCCTACAGTGTGACCACATTGCAGGGTTAGTTATAGACTGTATTTCAGCCACTCTGTTTGACACAAACTGTTTCCACTTGTGAGCTGGACTTTGAATCCACTGTAGTACGATCATAGAATCAGTCCACATGTGAAGTGATTGGGGATCCATATTCATCGGTTTTAACAAGCTGTTTCCTAGTCTTGCACCAATCACCGTACCCATAAGCTCATGACATGGCAGTGACATTTTCTTCAAAGGCGCTACCCTGGACTTGGAAGCGACAAGGCAAGTAGTCTTTGTTCCATCGTTCAGCTCTAGTAACAGGTAGGCAGCAGCACTATAGGCTATCGTTCACTCGCATCACAGAACACGTGAAGTTGCTGTGCATCATGTCTGTGCTCGGATGTTATTCCATACCAGCGCGGGATGACTATGTGGTGGATCTGTGCTAGCTCTGAGCACCATTTTCTCCATTCCTTTTCAATGTCTGCAGGCAGCTCCTTATCCCAGCCGAGACCACGCGTCCACATCTCTTGAAATAGGCATTTGACTCGCACAGTGAAGGGAGTGAGGAATCCTATTGGGTCGAATATGCAAGCAGAGAGTTTCAGAATGGCTCTTTTTGTGTTCTCTCCCTTTGCTACAGCATCCAGTAATGCAGTCAAATCAAAGACAAAGTCATCTGTCTCAGTTCTCCAAACCAGGCCTAATACCTTCAATACAGATCCTGGCTTTTCTTTATCTGGAACAACGTCATTTCTCACTGTTTTCCATCTTTCCTTTAACACATGACAGTTGGTTGTCCATTTGCACAGGTCCATGCCAGCAGTTGACATAATCTGTTTTGCAGTAGTTGTTATGGAGAAGGCCTTTTCAACATCACTTGCACTTGAGATGAAATCATCAACATATAGTGATTCTTTTATTATGTTTACTACCTCAGGATTCTGCTCTTCATATTTCTTCAGATGCTTTCTCACGGTAGCTGCAA